TACGAGAGAGAGAGAGAGAGAGAGAGAGAGAGAGAGAGAGAGAGAGAGAGAGACCAGATGTTCAATCTACTAATCCCAAAGATGTAGCCGAAATCTCTGGCTCTATCTGAATTAGGATCCGAATGACCAATGTGGCCAAGAATGGCACAATGCAATAGAAATGATGAAAACCTAGATAAACAAAGCATTTCTTCATATAAAATTTCCATATTTATGACGATGGCTAAAGATCCCAACACAAAGCATTGCACAACTAGGTATCAACCGCATAAAAATCCCTACATATGTTCTTTCCTCAACACAGCACACCCCACTTATAAACACATGATGCCCCATTAGCCTAAATATGCCCCATCTTCTGCTGGCTCACGAAGGTCAGTGACCTTAATTGAGTTTAGAAAGCTTCAACACCATCAATTTTCTTTAGTATATTGATTTGTAGGAAATCTAATTGGAATTTGTATCTTTCTGTCACAAAGTAGATTCATATTGATCTAATTTCCTAGTGAATGATGAATGTAAAAATGATTGTGGGTGATATTAGATTTTTGATCTAAACTTGAAGAATGCCATTTGAACGAAAGTAAATGTTTTCTATAACAACATCATATGAAGGGAAGGAAAATTTTCTGTCAGAGCTAGAATATAGTTGTTTTGTTCTGCAAATATGGCCATAAAGAAATTCCTCAACCAAAAGGAGTAAGTTGAAGGACACAGGAATTCGATAAATAGTTGAATTCATTGCATAACATTAAAACCTAATATTGAAGAAGTAAAGCATCAATTCAGCGTTACTTCCGATCCATTTATTCTAACAGTACAAAAAGATGCCACATAATATATACTGTGTCAAGTCTGAAAAATTAAAGAATAGCAAGAAAGATGAAATCGTTTTAATCAATGAGTAAGGTGACAAAATACAATGCAATATAATTATTTAATTTGTGACATGAGGGACCAAATAACAGCTAAGATTTTCCTGCAGTTCAATTGCGTGGAATATTTATTAGTTTCAATGCACTTTGTTATGCAACAAGATAACAAAGAGTAGAGCAAATTGCTTTGATATTCTTACAACCATAACATCATCCTCTACAATGACTAGCATTTTTCAAGCTTCCTATAAGACCATGTTCCTATTTGACTGCAAAATTTTGGTAACTTTTTAAAATATGTGAATGGAAGGTGGCATTTAGTTTCATTTGGGATGACTTTTTTATTTTTTCTTAAAACTACTTTTTAGTAAAAAATTTCCATCCCAAACGAAGCCTTAATTTGAGCCAGAAATTTCAACAAATTGGTTTCTGAAAGTCAGTTGAAGAATTGGGTCGACCATATTATGCGTATAACCCTAGCTTCCTAAGAGAAATGATGCATCGTTCTTTAAAAATTAACCCAAATAATAAAAAGGGAAACAGGATTTCACAAGGTATAGCATCTAGCTATGCATTTTTCATTCTTTACAAGGTATAACATCTAGCTGTGATATACTCCTGCATTTATCAATGATTAAATTGACATTCTTGATTGATGCTATTTATAGAAAGTCATACTAATCTTCTTTTTATTTTTTCCTGACAACTTTTTTTGTTCATGTTTGAGTTCATCTTGCAAAATTGGTTTTAGCTGGTACATATTCTCATAAGAGTTTTGTTTTGGTACTTTAGCCACATCATAATAAAATTTTCTTACATTTCCCAGAATTTAATTTAAACAAGGTGTGAGCTGTTAAATAATTTTATTAATGCAAGTGATGTTAAATAGGTTAGACTGAAAGTTCTTGTTCTCTACCCGTATCAGCTAGCAGTATACTATAGCATCAATTTTACAACAGAACTATCACACTAAAAGAAAACTACATTTGTTTCCAAGATAAAGAAATTGAGGAGAATCACTTATAGTCGACCTTTTGGGGTGATAATTCAAATGCTTCCACAACATTAAATTTGGTTACCAACTAGCTTCAGAAACTTCTTGAAATTAAGATTTCAGAGCACAACTTTGAAGTTTCTTACCCATTCCAAATAAAGAAGTCATCTAAATTTTTGTATGTGTGATTAAAATTTATTTTATAATCATTAAACAAATCTATTAAATCTCAATCTAAAATCATTAAAATTAAACTGAAGGTCATTATATTAATGAAATAACTAATATTTAAAAAACATTTTTTATTAAAAATTAAAATAATTTGAAATATTTTTGCAAGGTGTACCTCATGGCATAATCAAATGTGAATAGAAAAATATTTCCTAAAAAGAAAAAAAAAACTATAGATGAAAGAGAAGCTCCTTGCAGAACTGAGCAACAATTGCATTTTCGAGGACTGGAGCTTGCGAAACTGCTCCCTTGTGACTACTCTTGTTACAGGTTGGTCTCCCTTAACAAAGAAAAAATGAAGAGATAGAGAGAGAGAGAGAGAAGATAGAGGGAAAAAGGGAGCAAATGAAAGCCATACAATTCCCAAAGTCAAAGCAACCACAAGAACTGCAACAAAGAAAGCATAAAAAATACGTTGAGAGAGAGAGAGAGAGAGAGAGAGAGAGAGAGAGAGAGAAAGAGAGAAGTGGAAGGCATATATAACAATTTTTTTTTAGAGGGGGCACTTGCCCCCCCCCCATAAGCATGCCTATGTGTAGATATGCACATAAACATGCCTAATGACGTACTTGTGTGTGTTTGTGCGACACAAGATACTTAAGTGAGATATTTGAGAGGTGTATGATGACTATAATAGCTTAATTTTTAGGGCTTCTTTCCTTGATAATAAAATATTTTAGGCTCTGAGGCAAGGGCCCATGTAACTGGGTTGAATGTTTGAATTTTTATAATATCTATGAAACCTTGTTTACTATTAGATTTAAATCAGGAAATTCAATTTTAGTCATTCATAAGAAACATAAGCCATTTTTCAATGAAAATGAAGAAACTTCTAATAAAATACAACACAGAAAAAAGGGGAACCTCCCATTCTTTTCCCTTAAGGGGTTTTTTGGCAA